TTATTTTTTCCCAGAAAAGTGTCACCTGTATTCCTCTACTTTTTTTCGCCTTTTTTACTGCCCCCCCACCAGTGACCACCTTCGTCCACAACTTGTTCCACCCCAAATCATAAAAACTCCTACGAAACTCCCTCCTTTTAGAACTACCTAGCCCAACCATCCCTAAGGTCTCACCCCGTCCGTTGCCTCTTCAGAGACCGCGGGGATCTCTGAACTTCCACCCAGCCCCCCCTCCTGTCCCCAACGTCACCGTTCGCCTCCGCTAACCTCACACAGCACACACTCTATGCTCCCCGCCACACACTTCAGTGACGCAGACCAAAAAAATACAGATTTTTTTTTGTTGTGTTTTCTTAATTCTCTGTCAAAGCGTCTTTGAGTTTCATGAAAAGCGCTATAAAAGTCCCATGTATTATTATTATTATTATTATGTAATTAAACAAATTGAAACTCAGTTAATGAAAACAATTATGTTACTAAAAGAAATACCAACAAATATTAAGAAATGAAATAAAAACTGCGTTTGGCAAGTAAATGAACAAAAATTGTAACTAAGACATTGAAGCAAACTGTTATTAAAACAAAAAACAATAATGGTATTTTAGTTTTTTGTGCGCTATGACTGAACAAAAATTGTAACTAAGACATTGAAGCAAACTGTTATTAAAACAAAAAACAATAATGGTATTTTAGTTTTTTGTGCGCTATGACTTCATACTGAAGTGAAAAAGTTCAAATCATGTCTTTGTCTGCCTGAAAACAAACACTCCACACATGCACATGCCAAGGGTTAGCCTCCTAGAGTGGAAACTGGTGCGTGTGGTGGGAAATGTTTGTGGAACCAACAGAGCATATGACCCTATAGCATTTTCCCACTCTGGCTCTCTGATGTGCACTAATTCATAGTTTGTACTCATAAAAGTAAAAAAAAAGATGTGTTTTAATTAATGCTGTCAAAATTATCGCGTTAACGGCGGTAATTAATTAATTGCGTCAAAATATTTAACGCATTTAACGCATGTGCAGAATGGCCCGCCCCATACATCCCACCAGTGGCAGTGCCAGGGTATGGCTGGGGTAGGCTACACCCATACCAAGAAATGGCTTAGCCCCACCATGAAAAATGATGTTAAAGTAAGCAAAATAAAGTCCGCCAACTCACGCCGAGAATTGCACAGACAGCAGTTAGTAAGATTGATTTCAGTAGCCACTTGTCTGGAAATACGGAAGACCAGAAACGGTTTTGAAAACTTTTGTCACGTAGTGATCGTCTTCTCAATAGAACATCTTTGATAATGTCTTCTGGCCAATCAGAATCAAGATAACGGCGTGGTGTTGTTGCAGGAAGTCCCGACGGAGAATACTTTTGCTGTAGTACAGGGGTGCACATAACTGGTACGCAGGTAATGTGCGTAATCTGAAATGCGTACCGTCACTTGTGTCACAAAGCGCATTTGCGTACCGACGTACTTGTGAAGCTTTTCCAGAAGGCGGTTAGATCACCGGACGACAGATTCGATCTCCGCTCCGTGTGCACAGACACACTGTTGCTGTTAACGTCCGTCTGTACAACGGAATTGTGCCAAAATTACGCCAACCGGCTGCGGAGGGAGACTCCCCCCTTCACTGGAGAACTGCGCTAAAACAGCTGATCACAACGTTCA